AAGCACAGAACACAATACACCAAGCAGATAATAAATCCAATAAAATGTTATTCCCAGAAATGTTCATGCCTCATTCATTGTAGTTCTGGTTTATTTTCCCTCATTCTCTCTTTTAGTGGTTTTTTTTATTAATGTACACAATATAAGGTCAGTTTGTACAGTAATGTTTTACTATTCTTGCTGATATTGTAAAGTATTTCTAGAGAGGTGGCATTATGACTCTATCTGAAGCATAATTCACCAAACATGAAGACAACAAAACAGTGGCCATAACTTATCTACTGCAGACTGTTAAGATTTATGTTTATGCAGACAACGGATCTGAAATGGATTTTTTAATCCAAGACTGAGTAATCCTTTTAAAGAAGGCGTGCCTGTCCGGGTTTAGGCTATAATAATCCTCAAAATACAGTCATACCAGGTGAAATGTGGACGGTGACTCCAGTTCTTGGAAGTTGTTTGTACATGTGACTGCGATACACTGCTAGCCACTACTACCCAGTAGTAAACATCCATTTTAGATGCCACAAAATTCTAAGCCAGTAGCAATGCCAGGACAAGGTCACCCACTGCCTAGGGTGAAGATGCCAAACTGCATCCCTCCTCCTCTGCAGTTTATTACACATGAGTCTTTTCAAAACAAGAGAATATTAAAAAAAAAACATTTTTAAACAAAAAATGTTTAATTAGGTAAATTCACTTACAGCTGCCCTTCATGCCCCCCAACCATTCCCAGTCCCAGGTCTGGGTGTATGTGAGCACTGAGTGTATTTTACATGTAGTTTGTCAAATTGTAACTAAGATCAGAATGATTATGCTACACGTCTTACATGTGTAGCATAACCAATGTGATTTTGTATCATGTGTAGTAATATATAACCAAGGGGCTTTAAAGTGTGTTAGGGGCTCAGGAGAGGGCTGAAAGGCTCTGGATGGGGTGTGAGGGGAGAGGGTTCTGGAGGGTGTTAGGGGATTCTGCAGCAACCTCAGTGGCCCTGTGGGAAATGGAGGTTCTGCAGGGGGCTGGGGGAAACTGTGGGGATGACTGGAAGTGGCTGGGGGTCTTTGGAGGGGGCACCACTCGGGCTGGGGGCACTGTGGAACACTGTTAAAGGTAGGGAGAACTATGGGTGGCTGAAGGCTCTGCAGCAGGCTGGAGGAGCTGCGGGAGGCTGGAGGGCACTGTGAGAGGTTGAGGGTCACTGTGAGAGGTTGGGAGCACTGTGGGGCTGGGGGCTCTACGGGGACCTGGGGGCACTGTGGTCTACTGCAGGAAATTAAGGGGGGTACTCTGAGAGGTTTAGGGGACCTGCAGATGGCTGGAGACTCTCATTCGGGCTGGGGCGTGGGCACAGTGGGAGCTGAATGTAGCAGATATTCCGCTCTCCTTCCTCCACTTACTCCAGACCTGCCATGAGTACAGGCACCCGCTGAGTATAGGCACCCGCTGACTTCCTCTTCATCCATGAGAGACATAGGTGGGAACAGAAGAGCCCATTTACTGAGAGAATCGCTGACTATAAACAGGTTGCAGTAGTGGGGGAAATGTAAGTGGCAAGTGCTGCTGCGCTCTGTATCTCTAAGCTGGTCACAGAGAGATCTCTGTGATCTCTCCACTGGCTCAGTGACAAAAAACACGCGTCCGCTGTTGCGGTTTCGGTGTTGTGCTCGGGGTGATTAGGGTATGCCCAGGAACACTCAGCACAACCTGTGTGCACGCCTATGGCCACACCCCCTCACACTAGGAGCCCCTGTTCACCCTCCCCAGATTAGTATAATTTTTTTCCATGATGGTGGTGGCCAACCCCACTGCACCATGAAAAGACATGAGCTGTGTGAAAATGGTAAGGCATTCTTGAGGATGCCAGTAGGCACCCCAGAGTGCCACACCCTAGTTGAGAAAAGCTGGGGTAGACAGTGTCAGCATCAACGCAAGTACAATTTTAACCAATGTGTTTGCCTTATTACTTCTGGACACTTGTGGTTTAATGAATTGCCGATAGCATATGAGGGATATAAGGAGTCCTGAGATCATTCTATTTGGTTACTGGGTGCAGAAGTTCCACCTTTTCTCTGGTTTTCATAAAGGATTCCCTTTGCGTTGCTCTTGCTGCTTTTCTTTTGTCTTGTAGCAGGTACTCAGCTGTCTCATATACTCATTAAAAAGGAGTGTTTAAAGCAGGAAGGTGGGAGTTAAGAACTGAAGCTCACCCACAACATTACAAGGCGCTTTTATACTTTGGCACAATTCAATCATCTGCTACATCAACACTGGAGACCACATCAAACAGTCACTGACTTTTTTTCCCCCCCACTGATTTTATTTTTCTTTTATCTGTGTTTGAATAAACAGCCGATAGCTGACAAAAGCTACCAGGTAACTTTCAGAAGACAACTCCAAGCAAGAAGAGCAGGAATCACGCAATGGAGCCTGTCATAGTTAGTATGAAGGTAGATCTGCTTATGAGTGTACAGTAGGGCATAACAATATAGTTCAGTCACACAGCTAGGCTTAAATTGTTCCCAGGCAGGACAAAGTAACAGGTTTGCACTCTTATGTGTGCCTAACTAGCTGCACCTTTACTTTGCTCCATTATCATAACTTGGAGAATATGCAGGGTGAAAACTTTCTCAGCTCCCATGTGCCAGTTTTTGGTTCTTGAAGCACCAGGGTTGTCATGTAGAAAGAAGGGGAGTAAGTTGCATGCTCTTCAGAGCAGTAGCAAAAGGAATACTTCACTGATCGTGATGTTATCTCTCACACACCAGCAATCAGTATTTTTGACCTGCAAGTGACTTATTAAGCTGTAGAACAGCTCAAGACACAGGACAGACTTTGACAAATGACAGTAATAAATGGGTCATTGGTGTCTAACTTGTCTGAAATATTCTTGCAGTTGTTTAACAGCATACATCTAGTTCTGATATAACTGACGCATTTGATTTAAAACAACATATGAGGTGGTATTTTGCTTGCTTTCACTTCAGTGGCTGAAGAACAACAACTCCCAGCATTCTCAGCAAACCGTCTTGATGAACCCTGTGCTAAAGGTGGAGTTGTTACCCACAGTGACAAGTTTCTCTAATTAGTCTGAAAGATCAAACCTAAGGGCTGTGGGTCATAGATCCATGAGGTATTTGTGTGTCCGATATAATTCACTGTCCCCAAGTAAATTTATAACTGACTCCCAAAACCACTGCAGTGTCAGGTCTGGACCACCGGAAATTTTGGACAGACAGACAGCCGTCTGTTGCAAGAGGCAATTCATTTTGATGTATTGAATATCCCTTTCTCATTCATTGCCCAGGGATCAAGACGCAGAGCTGATGTTTGCGGATGTTTTAACCGGGGTTTAAGCTTAAACCTAATGACTCACAATAGGGGGTCCAGAACAGCCAATTTGCAAGTGACTTAAGTAGGAGAGAAAACGTAAAACAGAGCAAAGGAAAAGATGTTAAATGGAAATGGTGTCTAACAGATAGATGAGACAGAGAGAGAGAGACAGAGAGAGAGACAGAGAAAGATATGAGATATGGGGAGAGAGAGATAGAGAGAGAGGGAGGAGAGAATAAATCAGGAAAGAAAGAGAGAGAGAAAGAAAGAAAGAAAGAAAGAAAGAAAGAAAGAAAGAAAGAAAGAAAGAAAGAAAGAAGTATTGTATAGATGATAGATAGATAGATAATAGATAGATAGATAGATAGATAGATAGATAGATAGATAGATAGATAATAGATAGATAGATAGATAGATAGATAGATAGATAGATAGACAATAGACAGATCGATAATGACATATATAGAAGGGAGGATGGGAGGAAGGGGAAGAGAGTAGATCAGACAGATATATGCGAGATAAAAAAAAATAGGAGATATGGGGGGGTGAGAGTATATCATGTAAGAGAGAGAGAGAGAGAGAGAGAGAGAGAGAGAGAGAGAGAGAGAGAGAGAGAGGGGGGGGGGGGGATAAAGAGATAATGAGAAAGATAGAAGGGCATGAGATATAAGGAGAGAGAGACTGGAGAAAAGAAAGAAAGAAAGAAAGAAAGAAAGAAAGAAAGAAAGAAAGAAAGAAAGAAAGAAAGAAAGAAAGAAAGAAAGAAAGAAAGAAAGATTTTATAGATATGAGAGAGTGAGAGAGATAGAAAATAAGAGATATGGGGATAGAGAGTATATCAAGAAAGAAAGAAACATAATTATTGGATGGAGAGAGAGAGAGAGAGAGAGAGATGTCAATGAGAAATAGAGATAGCATATAGATAGTGGACTGATAGATATTTCGGGGATGTTTAAGAAAAAAAGCTGTTCTATCCCCATATCCATAATCCAGTAAAGTTTGCAATGCTCTTTGTTGTGACTTGCTTCACATTTTCAGCCTGTTCCTCAGGAAATGATTAAATAATAACATTATAAATCCTTTTTGTTGCCAATAATCATAGAAAAGGTTCCTAAGAAATCCAGATGCAAGAGTAGATAGTCGCCTGATAGGAGCATCTATTATCAATCCGAAACAATTTGTCATCCTGCCAAAAAAATAAAAAAAACTTTTCCCCAGAATAAGTCATGGAGGAGGCCACGCCCACTATTGAGCTTTCAAATAGGAGAGCTGAAGATCCATGTAGAAGGGTTAACATATTAGAAGAAGAAGCTTTCCAGTCGTAGCCAATCAGCTCCCGGCCCTAGCAGATATAATATAGCAGTAAAGACAGTGTGCTCTCAAAGGCTCCCCAGCCCTGCTTGCTCCCATTACAATCAAACCCTTTTTTTTTCTTTTTTTTTTTTTTCCCTTTTTTTTTGGTAACTTTTCCTACCCCCTTCAGCTGGGCTGTGTGTGTCACGTCTGAAGTCCGATGTGTAGCTCAGTGCTATTTGAGCACCTGTCTTGGAGGGAATCGGTGGATAATCTAGCAGACAGGCAGCGCGCAAGGACCTAGAAGACAGGAGAGGGAGGCTATCTACACATCGTCACTGAGCTGAGCTGGCACAAGTGGCAGAGGATTCACATGGACGAGATGCTGGTACTGAGGAGAATTCTTCTGCTGGGGGTTATAACTAGCGCTCTGGTACTTCCTCCTGCCTTCACCTGTGGACCGGGCAGGGGCATTGGCAAGAGAAGACACCCCAAAAAGCTGACCCCCCTAGCCTATAAACAATTCATCCCCAACGTCGCCGAGAAGACCCTGGGGGCTAGTGGAAGATATGAAGGAAAGATTACTAGGAACTCGGAAAGGTTTAAAGAGCTCACCCCAAATTATAACTCTGACATCATATTTAAAGACGAGGAGAACACAGCAGCGGACAGACTCATGACTCAGGTACAGACATGTGTACAACGCCACCGCCTTATAGTCGCTATTCAGGTATAGGGGTGTATATAAAACTGTTTCATTTAGTCATTATGATAGGTCCTCAGGATTCAAGTATAGGGGTCACTATAGAACTGTTTCATTTAGTCATGGATCCTCAAGATTCAGATATGCTGTTTTTTTAATCATTATAATTAAATCTTTAGGGTTCAGGTTTAGGGGGTGCATACATCTGTTTCATTTAGTAATTATGATTAAATCCTCATAATTCAGGTATAGGGGTGACTATAAGGCTGTTTTATTTAGTAATTATGATAAATCCTCAGGATTGAGGTATAGGGGTGTGTGTCTATTAAGCTGTTATATTTAGTCATTATAGGTCCTCCGCATTCAGGTATAGGGGTGTCTATTAAGCTGTTTCATTCGGTGATTATGATAGGTCATCATACATACATATAAAGCTGTTTAATACCTTGTATTCATTATGACAGGTTCTCACTACTGAAGTGCAGAGCTCCCTGCAAAGCTGTTCCATCCCTATCGCCATAATTATGACAGGTCCTCACCTGATACGGGGTGCATTCACATTGCCTATCTTACCTTGTATACCAGCTTCAGGTACATAGATTAATTTGATCATTCGTTCTATGGGCACTTCCAACCTGTTTATGTATGGACTCAAGGTATCAACTCCTATTACCTTAGGATATATCCTAGGGATTCAGGTATATAAAAGCTTGCTTTAAACTTGCATATCACTTTCTCATATCACATGTTCATGTAAGCCTGTTTTTTTAATCCTTTTATCCATTTTGAAAAACAGTGCTAGCACTCACCCATGTGTGTCTTAATCAGTCATAGGCTGTCCCCCTCAGTATTTAGTGTCTGGTTATCCTTCCACAATAGGCAGTTAAATCTTAATCGACCGCCTCTTGGTGTAAATCGCTTCTGTGGCTCCAGCATTATTTGCAGCATTGCCCATCAGAGCGTGAATATATTGATATGTATTTAAGGATGCCCTGTGACAACGTCTGCCACCTTACTCAGAGACAGGCACTTGTAACTTGTGGCCATTACATCATCCTTTCTCCTGCGAGCTGGGAAATGAAGAAGAGTGCTGGGGCTCTTTAACTCCATCAGCATGACAGTGCCTTGGCTGAGCACAAGATCTCTTCTTTGCTCCTTGTTCCTCAGCTAAGTGACACATTCCCCTTGGGATCTCGGAACTGCCACCTTAAATTTCCCCTGTCCCTCCAGGAACTGACTGCCTGATCAATTCGATGAGAACAGATCAGACAGCCGGGCTTAGGGGGTCACCCTTCTTAACCCCAACCGTGCCAGAGGGCTCAGCAGCCCGGCCGTAATTCCATGTGCGTAGCCCATATGTGTGCACGGGGCTGGCAGCGCAGCGCTCATAAAGACTGCTAGTTTGTCATGTAGCCTCGGAGGATGAGTGGAGCTCCTCTCAGCCAGACAGACATGTCTTAGATTTTCAGCTCCACTTCAGCTCATCTCTCTTATCGATCGCACCGGCTAGTGTTTCACAGTGTGTGCCTGTGTACAGCCAGAGATGAACAGTTTGGAGGGAAGCAAGACTGGATGGCCCCTGCCAAGGCTGGAGAAGAAAACATACAGAGAGATAGATAGATAGATAGATAGATAGATAGATAGATAGATAGATAGATAGATAGATAGATAGATAGATAGAGAAAGATATGAGATATGGGGAGATAGAGAGAGGGAGGAGAGAATAAATCAGGAAAGAAAGCGAGAGAGAAAGAAAGAAAGAAAGAAAGAAAGAAAGAAAGAAAGAAAGAAAGAAAGAAAGAAAGAAAGAAGTATTGTATAGATAATAGATAGATAGATAGATAGATAGATAGATAGATAGATAGATAGATAGATGGGATAGTTTTAGGATACATGGACAGATCGCGGAGGGAAAGCTGAATAGAAAACCAGATACAAAAAGCAACTAAAGAATATAAAAGAGGATGCTCCGGTCTGTCGGTGTTCAGGCCACTCTGTGTACAGTGCTCAGTGCAGGATTCCCCTTCTCCAACAGTGCTTCCAGATTGCCCTATGTGCAATCTGGGTGCAGGTGAACTTCTGACCTTCACACTTCCCTGGAAGATCAGCACAGGTTTCCTTTCCAGGCAGGGTGATGCTGCTGATAGGTTATCTTCCCTGGAAGACTAGCACAGGTTTCCCTTCCAGGCTGGGTGATGCTGCGGATAGACTTACCTGGAAGACTAGCAGAGGTTTCCCTTCCAGGCTGGGTGATGCTGCTGATAGGTTATCTTCCCTGGAAGACCAGAACAGGTTTCCCTTCCAGGCTGGGTGATGCTACGGATAGGTTATCTTACATGGAAGACCAGCACAGGTTGCCCTGCAGGCTGATATCACAAGCTGGAGTGACCGGGAAGGAATGCCTGCTGCCTCCCCAGCTCCCAGTACACCCTGGGAAGTGCTCTCTGCTGACTTTGTATTTCATAATCTCTTGTTCAGCTGAGTTCTTGGCAGGTGCTGGGAGCCGCCTTGCAGGTCCATCTACTATGTAAAGTTTTCTCTTAATGACACAGTTAAAGTTTCAAAATATTTGTTTAATGCGTTAGTTACTAGTTAATATTAACTGAAGTGGGGGCGAGAGACAGATACTTCCAGAGACAGGTAACTCAAGACTGACAGCTAGGGAAATAGCCAACCTACAGGGCAGAGAAAGGCAGTCTGAGGATCTCCACCTGGGTGGAACTACAAGTCCCAGCATACCACGCCAGCCTCAGCGCAGAGGAGGGCAGACAGAGGATCTCTGGCTGGCACTACAAGTCCCAGCATACCATGCTAGCTTCATAGCGCAGAGGAAGGCAGACTGAGGATCTCCACCTGGGTGGGCCTACAAGTCCCAGCATACCATGCCAGCCGCATAGTGCAAAGAAGGGCAGACAGAGGATCTCTAGCTGGCTGGCACTACAACTCCCAGCAAACCATGCCAGCATAGTGCAGGGTAAGACAGACTATGAAAGTGCAGAGGAAGGCAGACTGAGGATCTCTAGCTCGGGGGCACTACAAGTCCCAACATACCATGCCAGTCTCATAGTGCAGGGAAAGGCAGACTGATGATCTCTAGCTGGCTGGAACTACAAGTCCCAGCATACAATGCCAGCATAGTGCAGGGTAAGACAGACTTGGGCTCCCTAGTCGGGTGGAACTACATGTCCCAGCTTCTGAGATCAGACTGTTAAACTGAATATACGAGACCAAGCATGCCTTGCCACTGCCAGCTTTTGCTCAGCCCTATATTGTGAGTAAAAGGAAAAAAGAGGCACATAGCTGGAAAGCTCTAAACCCATAATAATGCGCCTTGATCTTGACTTGTTTGGAAGTGAGAAGTTTGCATTTCTATGCATTAAGTCGCAGAAGTGTGTCATTTAGTCACCTAGGTGCCCCCAGCCCCTGTGGAATGTCTGGGATTCTGGAAGGCCATCAGCAGCTTGTGTACCCTGACAGGTAACTGCTAAGTGTTTCCATGTATGAAGAGATTAGTTGCTGGCAGCCAGGCCTTGTTGTCCAACTCCCTCTGCTCACAAAGCCTCAGCTCGGGCTGCCCCGCTGGGCTTCAAGTTGGCTGAGCAGAATTGGGGTTGATTTGTGGCACACGACCCAGTGCATTCATGAAAAGCCTAATCTTCACGGTTGTGGCTCTGACAATGCAGCCCTGGCAGGCACAAGGTCCTGCTAACTGCTACTTCAACTGAATGTGTGTATATTACATATTACTGTCATTAAATTCTACTCTCCAAGAAACACATGATACATAAAAATGGCCACATACATACAACTGGAAATGTCCAATGTGCTTATTGGCCCAGGCTGTATCAAAGGAATTGCCCCTTTCGTTCATACAGCTGCTGAGAGCCAGGGGCAGCAGCTCACAGGGGTCACCCCATGCAGCAAGTTTAATATGGTAATATATGTTATAAACTGACTGTCAGTGAGGCACTCATCATTGTGCTTTATGTATTCATCCCACTCAGCTGCTACACATTAAATATTTGTAAGTGTAAGGATACATTTAGTTACTAAAGTTCTGATTTAGATCTGATAACGAGCTACAAAATCCAATTCAGAAACAAGGATTGGAGGGGGGGGGGGGGGGGGT